TCTTTGAACCACAGAAAAAAAGGGAGAAAGCCCCTGCCCACCCCAACTCTGCTCCTGCTTGCAGCTCATCCTCCTCCCTCTGCTCTTTTCCAAGCCAAATGAGGTCTCAAAGGTGAGGATAAAAGGGGCTGATTTCTCTCTCTGAGCCCTTCAGGAAATGTGGGCAGAGATGCTGCTCCATGCAGAGCTGTGACATGAAGGGACGACTCCATCCTTGACAGGGAGACACTGAGCATTAAACATTTCTCACTTCTTTTGGCATTCACCCATCTCTCTGCACCTCTTTCCACCCACCAAGGAATGTGGTTCCCAAGAGCTAAGGGGACCTCCCAGGAACCTCCATGCTCTCACGTGAGGAACAGCAGCTCTGGGGGACGACCAAGGAGCTCACCTTGTCCAGGATGTACTTGTTGAGGTAGGGCATGTAGCCCTGGCTGGACACAGGCCCATCATCATCATCACGGAAATGCTCTTCCAGTGCCACGGGGTCGTGGGGGATGCACAGCACCGTGTACAGGTTGTGAGACAGCACCTGGCCAAGCACAGGGGTGGTGAGAAGGTGAACAACCTCCAGCCCTGCCCCAGCACATCCTCAAGGTGTCACCTCCTCACTCACCCCCCTGAGGACTGTGCCCTGTGTGGCATCACCTCCTCAAGGTTTGGGTTTGGCATAATTCTCAAATGCAAACCTTAGAGAATCATTTAGAAACAGGCAAAAATCGAGGATTTTTCCACGTTAGTTTCTTTTCTTGGCACATGAGGAACTTCTTTCTTGAAAGGGCTGTTTCAAACCTCTCAGAGCAAACAGGACTCGCTCTGATCTAGGAAAGCTGATAAGCCACCCCAAGCCATGCACTTGGCACAACCATGGCCCAGCCTGGCAGCAGCCACTGTCTGCTGGGGACACAGAAAGATGGAAACACGAAAATAGGAAAGACTGGTGAGAAACTAAGCAAAGGTTTTGTCTGGAATGGAGATCTGGAGACAGACCATCCCCAGAAATACTCAGCAAGGCTTGCCAACAGCCCACTTTGTTCAAATGCCCCCAAATAAAGCATGTTGACAAGCTCATGCATTTCCCATGTGCTGGAAAGCCTGGAGCAAGGCTGCCCATCAGCACCAGCAGCATCTCTAGCTTGTGGTGCTGAGCAGGTGGTGCTCTCCTTGCTTTTACATCCCAGAAGCAGGAGATGGTAAAACAAGTGACTGACACTTCCCCACTGCACCCAGATCTGCCAATGCAGCTTGCCAAGGACTCAAGAGAGGGGCTGGAGGAGATGGAACAGCATCCCTACTCCTCTTTGCAGGGCTGGAAATTTCCTCCCAGCAGCAGAGGAGCTGCCTGAGGCCATGGTGGCTGCTGCAGCTGGAGACAGTTCTTGCTCGACCAGATTTTCATTCTCTTTTCTGCCCTTTGGACCAATGGGATCAGCAGGACTCCACCCTGTGCTCACAGAACAGGGCTGTAGCCCCGAGCACTGCTGCTGCACTGTGCCTTTTGGGGCTCAGTGCAGCCCCAGGGTCCACACAGCGGTGGAAAGGCTTGGGAATGTCATGGACATCCTCCAGCATGGCAACCAGTCCATCAGGATGAATTCAAAGTTTGGGAATTGTATCCCATTCTGTGTTTCCAATGTGGACCCTCATCTCCATCCTTCACCCCCACTCCCAGAGCACCCCTAAAAAACCCTGTGAGGTCTCACTTGTGACCCTGGCCGTGGGGGACACCCTGAGCCCATCCATCCATCCATCCATCCATCCATCCATCCATCCATCCATCCATCCAGGCTCCCTGTGACCCAAAGCCCCTCCTCTCGCAGGGCTGTCACTGACAAAGGGAGAGGAAAGCCCTGGCCTGGTCAGTGGTGGCATGGCTGGAGATGGGAGAGGTGAGAGACCCTTGCAGTCTGAAACAGTGACAGGAGGAGAAGAACAGCGGGGGAAAGGGATGCTAGGAAAGCAGTTTGCTGGTACAACCTTTCCCCTGTGGCATGCAGGGGTCTGCCTGACTCCTCCTAGTGCCCTGGATTCCTCTGAGCAGCAGCCTTGCTTCTGTTCTCCACCCTCTCCCACCGCTGTCACACCCATCACCCATGAGCAGAGGAGCCCAAAAGCACCAGGGCAGCTCCCGGTATTTCCAGCCACGCATGGCCACACGGAGGGACCACACCCCACCTGCACCCACAGCCCTTCCAGCCCCGCCAGGGAGAGGGATGCAACGGCACTGAGAGCACAAAGTCTTCCCAAGAGCAGGGCTGTGGTGTGCCTGTGCTGGGAGCAAAAACTTCGCGAGCTCTCTGGGCGCGCGGCACCGACCGCAAGCTGTCCTTCCTTCCTGTGACACACACACCTCCACTGCCAGCAGCATCTGCACACGCCTGCCTGCGCAGAGGTGCCCCAGCAAGGAGCCCAACGGCTTCCCACAGCTGTGTCTTCATGCTGGAAACCCCGGCACCTTCTCAGAACACCGGAGCTCCGGCTCTGCGCCCCCAGCCAGCTCCGGGGCTGGCTCCGTCCTCTAGGGGCAAGGCCAGTGTCTCTCCCACCCCTGTTCAAGACCCTTCGTGCAGCAACACGCCCGGGTGAGGGAGAGAGCACGGCGCAGCTCAGGGCTCAGCACCATGGAGGGGTTTGGAGAGGGCTCAGGGGCTTTAACACATTGCTCAGAGCAGAGAGACCCCGGATTCCTCCCTCGCTGAACCGCGGCTGGCCTGCGTAGGCTGGGGCGAACTCGAGTGTTTCTGTGGGTGGAAAAAAGCTCTCCCCGGCCTGGAGACAGTGGGAAAGTCATCCAGAGCTGAGCTGTGCTGTTCAGTGACCTGCTGCCAACCCATCCCGTCACTGAGGGCGCGTGGGAGAACATCCCTGCCCCTCTCAAGTGTCCCCCTGGGTAAAGTCACTTCGGAGGCGCCATCCCCAGCATCACCACGGCGCCCACACCACGTTTGCAGACCCTGCATGAACTGTCCATGAAATTGCCATTAAAATCAGAGTCTCTGTGGCCTCAGCATCGTCACAGGTGATAAAGATGTCTCAAGACAAGCAGTGCTGGTCCTTTTGGGACCACCCCATGCCTGGGCCAGACGCTGGACCCAGAGCAGTGAAGGTGCAGGGGGTGCTGTGAAGGGAGCACAGCAGCCCCTCTCAGGGATTAGCAAACCGAATTAAGCTCTGGCCTACTTGAGGATTTTCCTTAATTCCTTCAGCTATTTCTACAGTTTTAGCAGGTGAGCGTGGCTCGCAGGGCACATGCCACGAGTTCTGGGGGGCAGCCAAAGGCTCTGAGCCGCAAAGGCTGAGCAGGAAGACTCTGCCTCCCCAGATCCCTGCAAACAAAACTCTTAATTCTTGGGCAAAACACATCCCCCTGCCAAAGACCAGCACCTTCTCTGCAGTCTGCCCTGGGGAAGCCCTATAAAATAAAGGGAATGGAGGAAAATGGGGTTTTTTTGCAGTGGTTCAAAACGGTCTCGCAGGCTGGCAGCAGCTGCCATGTCCTGACGCAATACCTCCCGTGCTCAGCACGTTCCTGCTCAGGTCTGTTCTCTCATCACAGACCCTGGTACCAACCAGCACTTCCAACCCCAGCCTAAGAACCAAAACAGATGAAAAAACACATTCCCACCGCGTGCAAGGGTTAAAAAAATCAATTATTCTCAGAGCCAAGGGGCTGGCTGGTAGGTGCCAGCAACCCTGGCCTGGGGGCAGACAAAAAGGTTTTTAAAGCTGTGATGGGTTTGATGAAGGGCTGAGGGCATGAGCCCTCTCTGAAAGCTGCTAAGAGTGCGGAGAGGGGAAAGCAGAGAGTTTTTAAAAGCGCTGTGTTACTTCTAGCCACACCACTGAGGAGCTTTTGTTAAAAAAACAACCTGTCCCTACCTCCTGACCCACTGGTTCAGCAAGGAGAAACACAGGTGCTCCGGCAAGCAAGAAAATGTAAACAGAATTTGGGCTCTTAGCTGGCCATAAAAAGCACACGAAACTGATAACTAAAATTTCGATTTCTTATAATTTTTACCTAGAAAACACATCTGAGCATGAATTCTCCCCCACCCCATTTTTTAAAGGGAGATGCCACAGCGCCTGAGAACTTCACCCGAACCAGCGTGGAAGCAACAAGAAGATCTTATCTTAATATTTAACAATTTCTCCGCGGAAACCCGCGGGGATGCAAAGCAGCCCCGGGCTCGTTCCTCCGCTCGCTGCCCACCCTCCTCCATCCGTGCGCCGGGGCTCGGGGGACTCACTTTGAGCTGGGATTTGGACACCTTGCCGCTCTTCTCCACGTCCAGGGCGGTGAAGGCGTACCAGATGGACTTGAGCAGCTCGGCTCGCAGGTCCATGGCTGGCGGCGGCGGCGGCGGCTCTGCCGAGCCCGCGGATCCGGTTCCTGGAGCCGCCCGGGCGGGCGGGACCGGGGCGGGAGCGCCGCCTGCTCGGGGCGCCCCGGGAGCCCCCGGGCCCCATCGCCGCTCCCCGCGCGGCCGGGGCTCGCCGACCCTCTGCCGAGCTCGGCTCGGAGATCAAGAGATCCGTGGTAATTTGCGTTTTGGGGTGAGAAATCCTCGCTCTGGCTCAAGCAGCAGCTTCGCCGGGCAGCCTTTGGAAGGGATCGGTGCCACCCGGCGAGCGGAGGCTCGGCCCGTGGCGCCTCTCGGGCCGTGCCCGCGGAAACATCCTTCTCTGCAAACTCCTCCGGGATGTCCCAAACACGGCCCACGCGGCTGCCGGGAGCCTGTGCCAGGTCAGGTTTACAGCTGGACTCGAGGATCTCGAAGGTGTTCTCCAGCTCTGTCCACGCAGCACCCAGGGCAGTGAAGGGACTGAAGGCACAGGACACCAGCCCAGGTCTCTCTCCCCAGCTCAGGGGAGGATGTAGGATGTGTTGACAGACACGGTTCCCTAAATCTAGGCTTGCAGGGGTCCCTGGAAGAGGCAAGGCCTGATGAGAGATTTTAGGGACATGTCTTAGCCCCTCCAAGCCACACGCTGAGGGCTCAGAGGGTACAGCTCACCCTGCTCCCAGCCCTGCTCTGGGACAGCTGCTGCTTTGGCAGGACATGTTTGGTCTATTCCACAAATCTCCTCAATGTCCTCAATTCTTACAGCTGCTGAACACCCTCTCCTCCCAGCTTCCACCAAAGAGAAGAGAGGTCCTTTTAAAAACCAAATTTTGAATTTGTTTTTATTTCAACTCAGCATTTACATCCAGGTCTAGCTCAGCTCCTGGCAAGTGCTGGCTGCTCTGCTCCACAGCCAATGAATCTGCCATGGAAGCCCTGCTTGAATAGGAAGTGTGACAAAGAGATGGGAGAACTGCTCTTGGAACCATCCCAGTGCTGGCTCCAATGGCAGGAACTGCTCACCCTCCATAGCGAGCTCAGGACAGGGCTGGCTCTGATGGGCCTTTATTGCTTCTGTGCAAGTGCTGCCCACTTCCCCTGAGCTGGAAGGGTGGGCAAGAAAGGGGAGCTGTTGGGCCATTCCTAGAGGGAGAGGGCAGGAGTGCCCCTGAAGAGAGGCTGCTGCTCAGAGCCCAGGAGCAGGCAGCAGCCCAGTGTATCTGCTCTCCCTCCCCGGAGGGAAGAGCCCTTCAGACAGGGTCACCCCAGCAGCCCTGTGCCCCCTCAGTGTCCCAGCTGGCACAGGGCACACGCTGGCACTGGCTCAGACTCTGTCCCTGCCCCGCCACCCCTGCACACGGCAGGCTGGGGCTGCCACTCCCCTGCCACAGCTGCCCTGCTGGCCTCAGCTCCCCTTCTCAGGCAGGGCTGTGTCAGGTGGCACTGGCTCGTAGTGGATGACTGCTGTGGCCATGCTGAGGGCTTCCTCCAGGCTCTGCTGCTCTTCCAGCTGGGGGAGAGAGAGAGAGAGAGTGATGAACCCCCAAAAGGCAGCTCAGGGTGGCTCCCAGCAGGACACAGGGGTGACACAGGTGGGTGACACGGGTGTGAAGCACAAGGCCAGACAGGGGTGTTGACAGAGGAGCATTCTGCAATCCCAGCAGGATGTCCCTGTTGTCCTCTGCACACAGGGTCTCTGGGAATTAAGGAGCAAGCCCCCTAGGTGAGCAGCGATGCAGCAGGGCCTGAGAGCAGGCAGTGGGTGGCCAGGGAGTGAAGGGGACAGTGGCAAGAGCCATGTGGTACCTGCACAGCAATGTGGGTGCCATGGGAGGTGGCCAGCAATGCCACCTGCTGATGACAGAGCGGGGTGATGCCCGACTCCTCTTCTGCCCCAGAAGCGACTACGGCCACCTGGAAAAGGTCAGTTAATCACGTTTTAAATGAAAGCACAGATCTCTTCTAGCAGAGGAAGCCTGCTTCCTGGGCAGTCCCAGCTTTGTCTGTACCTCCTGTGCCTCGGTGCCATGGGTGCTGGCCACAGTCATGGCCCCAGTGTCACCAGCTGCCAGCTGTCCCTCGGGCACGGTGAGGACCCCGCTCTGCGTCACCACGCCGATGGCACTGCCCAGGGCCTGCAGCTCCTCCTGAGACAGGCTGACCTGGGGGTGACAGCAGAGCTCAGGGAGTCTTAGGCAACCCCCAAGTTTAGCAATGCATTGGTCTGGACAGGGAGGAAACAGCATCTCTGCAGGACTCAAGGCACAGAGAGCTCCAAGGACTTTGCCCAGCACCATGGATAAAACTGACAACAGAGAACTCAGAGTTTGAGTCTTCAGCCCTCCCCCTTCCACCACATCTTCCCATTCAGCCTTTTGTCTCAAGCCTGGATGGGGACAGCTCTGTGCATTGCAGCAGCAGGAGCATCTCAGGCTAAGAGGAAACAGGTCACTGGTGGCAGCTGTTTCCCTTGCCCCGTGCCACAGAAGGAAGTTTTTTCCAGTCAGCACAGGGGCAGCTGGTGGAGGGAAGTACAAGAAAAGCACTGCTGTATACAAGTGATGACAAAACATCTCCAAATCCAGCCTGGGTCAGCAGAGGTGGGGAGCTGCAGGGAGCCAAGGGCTGCCAGTCACCACACAAACACCCAGAAACCCCATCAGCAAGGGGGGCACTGGGACCAGAGACCCCCCAAACCAAGTCTGCAGCAGTGGGTGAGGCTGTAGGAGGGAGCCCTCAGGGCAGGAAGAGCCCAAGAAGCTCCAAGATCTGAAAAAAATGCTGGAAAAAGAAAAGGCCCTGCAAAGAACATCCTGGCTGAGTAGAGGCAGAATCTCACTTCAGATACTAACTGCTGTCCCTGACATGCTGAAGGTGTCTGTGTCCATACCTGCTCTGTCCCATCCTGAGAAATAAGCGAGATTTGTGTAGGCACAGCATCTTCCTCTTCATCTTCCTCCATCTCTGTAAGGAAAGCAATATGCTGACTCTCCAATGGAGAGCCTCTGTCAGCAGCTGCAGCAGCTGGATCAGAGAAGGGGAAGAGCAGCACTATCAGAGTGTGAAACCACACGCCTGCTCTCTGGACGTGCCTGTGGTCTCAAGGGCTGGCACAAAAGAGCACAAGGACCATGATGACACCAGTGGTGGCCTGGGAAGAAGGACCTTTACCTCTCCCTGTAGCACAGAATGGGCAGGGACCTATTCCCAACCTATTCCAATAGATCTGGCTTTGATGGGGAGGCAGGAAGCCATAGCACACATTTGGGTCTGAGGGGCGTGTCTGCTTTTGCTGTCACCTCCCTCCCCTTTGCCACACCTTGATGGAGGAGTGGCTACTCACCCTGCAGCTGCTCGTAGAGAGCCTGCTCGCTCTCCTCGGTGGCCTCCAGCTCGCCGTGGCTGCTGCGTTTGTGCATGGCCAGCGTGGAGGTCTGCCGGTAGGTCTTGCCACAGCTGCTGCACGTGTAGGGCTTGCAGTGCGTGTGCACCACATGGTGCTTGTACAGGCTGGAGTACTCGGTGAAGCGCTTCCCACAGCCCGGCACGGTGCACAGGTATGGCTTCTCTCCTAGGGCAGAGGCCACAGAGCTGAGCTTCACCCTCCTCACGCTCTGGGGAGGGATTCTCCACCAGAGCAAATAGCTGGAGACAGACTGCTGGAATAACAATCAATCCAATGAAGCAATTCCCACTATTTCCTCCAACTCCCTGGCCACTCCCAGATCCACCCCTGCGACGTTCAGCCTGGAAATGCCCATTCCAGCCCCACCAATCTCCCCGCTGCTGGCTCCCTCCTACCTGTGTGGATCCTCATGTGGTTCTTGTAGTTGGTGGCGCTGGTGAAGCCCCTGCCACAGCCAGGCTCTGCACACATGTAGGGCCGCTCGCCCGTGTGCGTCCGGATGTGAACCTTGCGGATGTTGGACGTGGTAAAGGAGCGGCCACAGCCCACGAAGGGACACTTGAAGGGACGTTCACCTGCATGGACAGAGTGCTGTGGGTGACACCTGCCACCATGCAGCCACCTGGAGACCTTTTCACAGGGCTGTCCCCTGTGCAGTTCCTCCCCCGTGCTGCTCACCTGTGTGCGTGCGGATGTGTTTCTGCAGGTCCCCGGAGGTTTTGAAGGCTTTGCTACACAAGTCTTCTGGACACTTGTAGGGTTTCTCACCTGTGTGTGTTCTCACGTGGCTCTTCAGACCATACCCTGTCCAGGACAGAGACCACAACTCATTTTGTAATGAGAAGGAAACACCATGACAAGCTGAGTACCACCCCTCAGTCCATGTACCTGAGTGTCTGTGTTGTGTCTGCAAAGCTTGAAAGGGAAGAAATAACCAACCCCAACACCACTTCCAACCTTGCTTCCATCATTATCTGCCCAAAATCAATGAAGTCACAGAAGGCTCCCGTGCTGTGATTCCCTTGCTTTAGATGCGCTGGATATTGTGCTCTACTGGGTTGGACAGAAAACGAAATCTGCTCAAAACAGAAATTTGTTACCTGTAGCAAATGCTTTCCCACAGCTTGGGAAGTCACACGTGTATGGCCGGTCACCTGTGTGAGCACGTTCATGTACCTGGAAAAGAAAGAACAGGTCCCTAAAATGAGATCCAAGGGAAGGAAGAAGGAAAACTGTGGAAGAATGCTGGTGGAGAGAATATGAAGTTCCCTGTTGGATTTCACCTTAGCCAGCTGACACATCTGGGTCTCTTGGAGAGCTCAGCATGTAACTCAGCTGCACACAACAGAGCATTCTGCTCTGGCAGTGTAACCTGGGACTGGTCTGGCCAGCACACTGCCATGTCACCTGCTTTACCTTGAGGTGGTGGGCAGTGGTGTAGAGGCGGCCACAGCCTTGGTACCCACAGCGGAAAGCTCTGCTGCCGACCTGCTGCCCCTTCCTGTGGCTTTGCACCTCCTCCTCCTGCAAATCCTGCTGGAACAAGTACTGGAATCAATCCAGCAAGCCACCACAGCTTCACCAAGCCCACACAAATATTTCCCTCCTTGCCATACATATGCACTGCTGCAGTTATCTTCCAAAAACATGTTCCTACAAACCAGCTTGTACCCACATGGTGAAGCCCAGGTGACGGGGCTCTAGGAACCTGCATTTCCCCCTCCCAGCTCCCAGGGGGTTCCCAGACACAAAACTCCCTTTCTCAGCTCATTTGAAAGATGTGCAGTTAGTATTTGCTAACTCAGCAGAGAAGCCACAACATTTTTATAATTACTGGCAAAGAGGAGTTCAGCCTAGTTCCAGTCACTGAAAAATTCAGACCTGGGAAGAGATGTTGCTGGAGTCTTTACTCTTCACATGGCAGGTGTCTGTCACTCCCTCCTCTTCCTCGTCAGACCCCTGTGAGTGAAGCACAGGCACTGTTTGTGTGTCCCCATACAGCGTGGAGCAGGAAGGCAGTGACAGCACAGTGCCACCCCACCCTTCCCCAGAGAGCAGGGGCTGGGCCTGCTGCAGCAGGCAGGTCTGTGCCCAGCTCAGCACCCCTGGCAGCCCCTGCTCCACAGCCTGTGGAGGTGGGAGGAAAAGGCAGTACCTGGGATATTGAGGTGGGACACTGCAGTGACAGCACACCAGGATCTGAAGCTGCTTTGGTTTTGAGGCCTTCGTCACCATGGGGACAGTGGCCATGGCTTAGCCACTGCTGGCACACCAAAGGCTGTATGACAGCAGCTCTCCTCCCTTCCCAAACCTGAGCCTGCAGCAGGTTAAGGGTGGCAGGCCCAGCACCCCACAGGACCAAGCAGCCCCATTCTGTGTCCCCAACTCCAGGCACCCCTCAGCAGTGGCACTCACACTGCAGCCTGTCCAGTTGCTTCTCTCAAACAGGGAGGGCACAAACTCAGGCCAAGAGGTGCTGTGCCCTCACCTTCCTGCCATACTGCTGCAGTGCATTAATGGTGTCCACATCAGGGCCATCATCTTCCTCCTCCCCAGCCAGCTCCTGCAGCCCAGTTTCTGTCTGCACTTGCAGGATGGTGCTGCCAGGTGCCAGGATGACAGGACGGTGGATGTAGGCAGTGGAGCCATCCTCCAGCTGGACAGCCTGGAATGTGCTGGGTTCATAACTCTCTGCAAGAGGAAACATTCAGGTAAAGAGCTGAAAAAAAATTCAGCTGAAAAAATCCTCAGTGTGAGGCAGAAAAAAGTGCTTCATCTCCCCAGCCTTGGAAATCTGAGACATTTCAGCAGCTTCCCTCCAGCTGCCAAGGAAAGAGCAGGGAGTGCTTTACCTTTGGCTGTGCTGTGTATGAAGGCCATGCTGCCATCCTCCAGCACCACTGGCTGCCCATCTTCAAAAGCCACAGCCTCTAAAAGGAAAGGAAAACATCCACACACTTTCCTGGAGGTCCCAGCATGGGGAATGCTGTGGCAGTTGAGGCTGCCAAGCAGGAGAGGACACAGGGCTGCCTGCTTGCCCTGAAAGGCAACCACAGCTGTAGGTTTTAAGACACCATCTGAGCCCTTCTGATGGGAATGATGAGATTTTCAAGGCTTCATGCACAGATTTGCCTCTTCCTTTGCTCAAAGGAGTGATGTGGTGTGACACAGGGAGAGCCCACAGGTGAAATGACACAAACATTTGTCTCCACCTCCACCAAATTCACCTTCTCATCAGATTGCTAACGACTTTGCAGGCAAAGTCCTTGTTCACTCAGCCTCAAAACCACAAGAAAGAAAACCCCAACAGAAACCCTCTGCTCACGTGGACTTTTGAGAGCTGGAACTGACAGAGGAGCCCAAATGCTGGAGCACTGAGAGCTGCAGCCACATCTACAGTGTCCTTCCAAACAAAAGGAGGGCAAGGTGTGTTCCTCACCTTTCTGAACTGTCACCTGATGGATGTAAGCTGTGGTCCCATCTTCAAGTTCAATGACTTGCCCTTCAATCAGCTTTTCACCTGGAACAGTTAAAACATAGCATCAGCTGCTGAGCCCAGCCCCTCTGTCCCACAAAAGGCAGAAATTGTCACTTCTGGGCTCTTATGGGTCAGCTTTGCCCCACAGAGACACTTCACTCCCCAGAAATGCTGGCATTGCCCTTGTCTAGAGAGGACACACGACAAAGACCCTCAGGCACCACTTGCTGAGGAGCTGCCCCTCACAGCTCCTCGTGCCAAGGAGCAGACAGAGCACACAGAGAAAACAATTACACTTGTGTTGGAAGAAAAGATCAACTGGCTGTGCTGAGCAGCATCAGCAAGTGCTGGGAGATTTATCTGCTGCTTTGGCAGAGGATCAACTGCTAGGAAACAATTACAGCACCTAAAGGGGCCTAAAGTGCTGCCAGTGTTGGGCTGTAGGGGCTTACTGCAAAGCTGTAATCATGACTGTAATCATGAATGTAATCATTACCCAGAGCTCTGGTGCAGAGAGCAGATTGCTCCATCCCTCTGGAGAATCCAGGCTGGTTTCACCTGGAGCTTAAGGTTTGAGAGGGGGGTCACACAGCCTGGTGCTCCCGAGACAGCCCAGCTCCACACACACAACAAACCTGCAGTGAGTTTGCACAGAAAATAAAGCAGGAGAGCAACCCCCAGGACACGGAGCTGCACAACTCCTCCATCCTGTTCTGCAGGCTGGGAAACGGCGTGCTCCTCTTCCTGGGAGCAGTGGGTGGTGGAGAAAGGGGCACCTCACCAACACCAGGTAAGGGCAGGTGTGGAATTTGGCACCTCTCTGAGTGGGAAAGGCACTGCTGTGAACCAAACCCGGCACACCAGTGATGCAAAGCCACCTGCTCAGCCCAGGGGAAGTTCTGGTGGAGCAGAGCTCTGCAGGCCACAGCATCAGCTCCCTGTCCACAGCAAGCCTGGGAAGAGCAGGGCCCTTCCAGTCTGAACAGAGCTTTATTTTCCACAGCAACAGCTCTCCCGTCTCCACAGCTTCATTTCCAAACCAGAGGCATGTTTGATTTGTATTTTATTTCACACCAGACTTCAGTGCAAATCCAACAGCCACCAGCTGCCCGTGCCAAGTGGCCACACACGTGTGACACCTCCCACGCCGTGAGGGGCACTTTTGGTGACCCTGACTCTAATTCCAGAGCCAGGAGGAGCCCTGACAGCCCGAGGCTCTGTTACCTCTGGCAGCCTGCTGCAGGCAGGCCGTGCTGCTGTCCCCAAGGGTCACTGCTGGCAGCCCCAGGCTCTCCATGCTGATCCCCACACATGGATCCTGCCTGGCAGCACGGGGGGCCCACAGGGACACGGGGTCGTTGTCTTTGCTGCGAGCCTTAAGTAAAAAGAACAATTCCATTTCAATTTCTGCCCCTGGTTTCTCCTCCTCCTCCTTTAGTTTCTCCACTTCTGCACACTAGGAAAGGCTTGAATGGCCTCAAAAGACTTTTGAAGTGGTAAAGGGTTGAGATGGACAAAGCTGCATCCTTCCCACACTGAAGGCAGGCAGGGATAAGAATCTATTCCACAGCCAAATATGAAATAAAGCTTATCAAGCAAACTGAACTAACAGACTCTTCTTAGAGACAGCACAAATGTCACATGCCAGCCCCTCCCGTCCTCCAAACGATCTGCAGGCTTTCCAGGTACTTTAAATCCTCAACCTACAGGCTGAGCACGTCCTGTGCTGCAGGAGAGAGGGGCAGGGTGATAAAGCTTTATTCCTCCTTCTCTCCTCCCTTTCCTGACTAACCCCCAGCCTTCCCAGGGACAATTCCAGGCTCTAAGCAAATGATGCTAGAGCCTGCACACCCCCAGAGCACATTTCGCTGGAGGCACTCTCTGCTGATGGCTTATCTTCCCAAGGCGCTGCAGCGCGTTCTTCCTCAGCCAAATCTTTGATCGTTTGATTTCCAGCGACGAGGCAAAACCGCCCCGTCCGTGCCCGCCGCCGCTCGGGGCCCGCTCGGTGCCGCCTCGCCCCGCGCTCCCCGCACCCGTCCCGCCGGGAGACGGGGAAACCGTGCCACGGGCTGCGAGGGCAGGGCCCGGGGGTGGCGGGGACACGGTGGGGGGCTCCCCCCGCGCGGCACCCGGGGGCTGAGGCGGCTCCGGGCGCGGCCGCCATCGCCGCCCCCCCATCCCCCACACCGACCTGAGCTACCCGCCGGGCCCGGGTCCGCCGCCGGCCCGACGTGCACCGCGCGCGGCCCCGCAACCCGCATAGCGGCGGCGCTCCCGCCCGCGCGGGGCCGCCCCCGCCCGCCATACAGGTTCCGGGGCCGGCCGGGCCGCGCGCGCCGCCCTGCGGCCAATGCAGGGGAGGCGCAGCCGGCGGCGCATGCGCGGTGCCAATGCTGAAGCCACAAGGCCCCGGTTTTCCCGAGCTGCCGCCGGTACCTGCCCCGTGGCCGGGACCGGCAGCGCTGCCGCCCGTGCCCAGCCTGAACAGGCAGCTGAGGCCAGCCCGGGGCTCCTGGGATACACTGTGAAGCGATGTAGAAACTCCTGTGCCGGTAGCCCGAGACAGAGGGCAAAGAGACGCCAGTTGTTTATTTAACGAGGCAGGAGATGCAGCCGGGTACGCTCCCCGTGCCTCTCCCCTCATGGCGGCCCCGGGCTGCCGCTCCCAATATGGCGCCGCGCCGCTTGCGCCAGTCTCGCGAGATCTCGCCGCTATTTAAAGCGCGGAGGAGGCACTTCCGCCCCTTCGGTCCGAGCAGCCGCAGCCATGAGGTGCGTGCAGCCCAGCGTCTGCTCCGCGCCATCCGCCGCCATCCACCACCATCCGCGCCCGGTGGGGGCCGCGGGGCCGTCCGGGCGGCCGGCGAGGCGCGATCCTCGGGGTCGATCGCGGGGGGGGACCGCGCAGGGACCGGGGCGGGCTCGGGGCCGCGTCCCGGGCGGGGCCGGCTCTGAGCCCGCGCTGCCGTTTCCCCCCGCAGCAGCAAAGTGTCCCGGGACACCCTGTACGAGGCGGTGAAGGAGGTGCTGCACGGCAGCCGTGCCAAGAAGCGCAAGTAAGAGCCGCCGACACGGCGGGACCGGTCGTGTCACCCCCGGCCTCGGCCTTGCCCCCTCCGTGCCCGGCCGGGCCTCACCCGGTGCCTCCCGCAGGTTCGTGGAGACGGTGGAGCTGCAGATCAGCCTCAAGAACTATGACCCGCAGAAGGACAAGCGGTTCTCCGGTACCGTCAGGTTCGCCATCCTCTCGCTCCTACCCAGCCTTCGGCCCGGTCCCGCTCGGGGCCGCCGCTGCCGAACCGCTTGGGGAGTCCAGGGCGCCGGTGCGGGCGGCTGGACGGACCCTCACCCTGGGTCTTAAAACATGAGGGGAGGTGCGGCAGCCCCCTGGCTGTCCCACCGGCCTGCTGGGGACGGCAGGATGCCCCGTGCTGCGGTAAGGTGTCTCCGTGCTGGCTCTGGGCACGCGGCTGGGGCTGGCTGCTCGCTGACTCGGACCTTCCTTCCTTCCTTCCTTCCTTCCTTCCTTCCGTCTCCAGGTTGAAGTCGACTCCACGGCCCAAATTCTCGGTCTGTCTGCTGGGAGACCAGCAGCACTGTGATGAGGCCAAAGCAGTTGATATTCCTCACATGGATATAGAAGCTCTGAAGAAGCTCAACAAAAACAAGAAGCTGGTGAAGAAGCTGGGTGAGTGTCCATAAGGTTTTTCCCCGTGCTGAGCAGAGTCAGCCCCAGTACCAAAATCTGCCCAAAACTATTCAGGAAAACCACCGGGCTGTTTCCAGTGCAGGTCTGACAGATCAGTGCTGCAGGAACGGGGCTGGTTGTCCAAGGAAGGGAGAGACACAGAAAATGTCCCTGCCAACAGTTTCATCCTTTGCTGTGTCCCTCAGTTTCCTGGTCGGGGAGCTGGAGGGCAGCAAAAGCCAGGAAACACTGGAGGCAAGAGTGTGCTTTAGTCCTGCAGTTCTTGTGTGAACAGAATGAAATGCACTCATTTTCCCTTGGTCAGAGAGAAAATCCTTCCCTTCCTGGGAGCTCCAGAGTCCCTCTGTGCCTTCCTCAGGCAGACAGGAGCTTGGCCCTCAGTCCTTCATGGGCCATGGAGCTATGAGCTGTTGGGTAATGGTTGGCCAGGCCTCTCCCAGGTGGATCCTCTGTTGCAGAGCTTGGAGTTCAGTGTCCCCTGGGCTCAGCAAAGGACAATTCCTGCAGGGAACAGGATTTGGAGTCACTGTTGAGTGGGGCTGGGCCTGGCTGCTGTGGCAGTCATCCCTCAAAGATTGGCAAAACCAGTTCCAGTTCTGGTGGGACCCAGAGAATGTTGGATTCATCTGCAGGGGGGAGTTGCATGATCCCTCCTGGGAGCTTGGAGTGGGAGCAGGGTCCATCCTTACTCCCTGGCTGTCTCCTTGCAGCTAAGAAGTACGATGCCTTCCTGGCTTCCGAGTCCTTGATCAAGCAAATCCCTCGAATCCTGGGGCCTGGCCTGAACAAAGCTGGGAAATTCCCTTCTCTGCTCACCCACAACGAGAACCTGGTGGCCAAGGTGGACGAGGTCAAATCGACCATCAAGTTCCAGATGAAGAAGGTAAAGCATGGCTGCAGTTGTGCACCTGGGGGTTGTTCCAAGGCTCTGCTGTCTCTGTGTTGGGCTGTAGGTGTCCCTCGAGTGTTCCTCAAGCATGGGGAGATGGTACCCAGAGTGTTCCATGGCCGGCCAGAAAGGAGGAATAGTTTAACTGTGGTTGATGATCTTGGAGCAAATGATGAGGAGACAGTGCTGAGCACAATCCAGTGTATTAATGCTGCTCCTAGCACGTGGGTGCTGCTCACGGGGTGGGACCTGGCCAGGGCTGTCCCTGGGTCTGAGCACGAGTGGGGCTTTGCTGGGGGTGAATTTGGGACTTGGCTCTGTCCAAGTGAACTTGGGAGCAGCTCTGTGGGGACACATCTGGGAGGACACAGCAGATGGGAGGGTTTGCAAACGCTTGAGCATTTAAAACAGCTGAGCTAGTGATGTCCTGACACTTGGCCTGTTGGCTCACTCATAAATCCCTGTCCCTGCAGCCTGGGGAGCATTCCAGGCTGCTCGGAGAGGAGGCTTGGCCTCTGCCACAGCGCAGAGGGGGCTGGGGGCTGGCCCAGAGGCAGGAAGTGAAGCTGCTGTGGGCACGTCCAGAGCACAGGACAGCCCAACACGCTGAGAGTGAGCCAGCTCTGCATTGCCTGTGAAAGCTGTACCCCTGTCTGTCCCCAGGTGCTCTGTCTGGCTGTGGCCGTGGGTCACGTGAAGATGACAGAGGACGAGCTGGTCTACAACATCCACCTGGCCATCAACTTCCTGGTGTCCCTGCTGAAGAAGAACTGGCAGAACGTGCGAGCTCTGTACATCAAGAGCACCATGGGCAAGCCCCAGCGCCTCTACTAAAGGGGGGCAGCAATAAACTCTGCAGACACCCACAGCTGTGTGTGCTTCTGTTCCTCCAGAGCTCCTCGGGGAGGGTTTGCCAAAGAGCTGCTCACTTCTTCCTGGGGAAAGCCTCAGATGCTGTGTTGAGAGGTGAATTCCGAGTGGGATGTTGGAGGTTTTGAGGGAAGGAGCCTCACCCCCCTGCATTCAGAGAGGGAGGGGAAGGAGCCCACTCTCCCCCAGAGCAGAGGTGTCCCAGCAGGTTGGGCTGTGGCCCCAGATCCCCCTGTGCCCACAGAGGGGACCCTTACCTGGTGCAGAGCTCACCTGAGTCCCTGCAGAGCCCAGCCCTGCCCAGGTGCAGCTGCTGAGGCCTCGAGCACTGTCTGCAAGTCCAGGGGTGCTGAAGGACAGAGCTGCAGCCCAGCGGGGCTGGTGAGGGCAGCAGAAGGGTTTAAATACAGGTGCCCCTCAGCAGCCCACACCTGCCCAGGTGCAGCTGCTGAGGCCTTGAGCACTGTCTGCAAGTCCAGGGGTGCTGAAGGACAGAGCTGCAGCCCAGCAAGGGGTGTTTCCCTCCCCTCTTCCCTCTGAGCCAGTCTAACTCCATGTTCTGGCCTAAAAATGAATTTTCTTGCATTTAAGTAATGTGCGTAAATAAATACATTGTGCAGGGACTGGAGAGCTTAAGGAAGTGCAGCATTTAAGCTTCTGGGGGGAGAAAAAATACTTTGGGCCCTGGAAAAGCTTGTCAGCATCTGAGGGAATAAAACAATGAAAATAGCTCTGGATCCTGCTGTTAGAAACCTTTAAAATAAGCATCAGAGCCAGTTTTTGAAAGATCAACACGACACCAAGAAATTCCATTTAATAATTAAAAAAAGACAATACAAAATGCAAACATTTCTTTTTACAAAGTTCAAATAACAATTTTTTTTCTTTTAATCAAGTGCAAATAACTTCATGAACTACATCTTGCTCATTCACTTTAATAGTTTCTGCTGGAGATGGCAAGTCCTGGCCCGCTGCAAAAGGCAGATATAAATACTCCAACATGAACAAAAAAAACCAAAACCCCAACAACCCTAATTTTTTTTTTTTTGACTGCTTCCAAACCTTGATCCCCGAGGTGGCTGATGTGGGTTTCAGCCTTTCAAACCCATTCTGAGGTGGGGGTGGGTGGCTCCAGGGGCCCTGTGGGATTTTGGGGGCTTTTTTGAGCTGTTTGGTGAAAGCAGAAGGGGGAAGCACCATTACCTGGTGCCTTTGGCCATTCCTGGAGGATTTGCTGCCCACCTCATCCTTCCACAGCAGGGGAGCAGAGGTGGCTGCTGTGGTGACACCGGTGACAGCCAGGACACCCCTGATGCCCCACAAAGGCAGCTGGGCAGTAACCTGACATTAGATGAGCCAGGGTTAATCAAAGTTAATGAACTCTGGTGGGCACGAGGGGTGTGGCACTCCAGGGCACCACAGCAGGGTTGGTCATTCCCGGGCTGATTTTATTTTTGCTGCTGGTTTTTTTTCCTTCTAAATGCAAAGGACCTTTCAAAGGTCACTGCCCTGTGCCACTGTCCCAGAGCCACAAAACCTCTCCAGATCCCTACAGCAGCTTTTGTGCATTAAAGCAGCTGCTTTCAGACAGCAACCAAGTGACAAACAGCCCAGCTCACAGATGTGGAGCTTCCAAACAGGCTGGGAGCCGGCAGCAGGAGGGGAAAATCCACAGCTGGGATGAATCAGGACAGACTTTTCCAACTGACGCATCTTGGGGACAAACCTCAGCCCCTGTGCCAGTGCTCAGCCCGCCTGCAGCCCCTCACAGAGCCCAGGAGAGGCTCCTGGGGTGCTGCAGCAGCGTGGATCAAGGAGGGAAAACAGGGATGAGCAGCTGCTTCCCCCAGATGTGGAAAGATGGACCCAGTGGGACATGCAGAGCAATAAATAATTGGTTTGTTAAGAGCAGGGCTGGGCTCAGGTGTGGGCAAAGGGACAGTGAGGGACAAGTGGGGACAGTGGTGGGAAGGGACCTGCCACTGGCAGAGCTACAGGCAGCTCAATCATGTTATGTCCTGGCAGCTCCAGGCCTTTGAGAGGATGAGGATGAAGGTATGGGGAGGATGACAGCTGAGAATTGGGCTGGAAAAGCAGGGAGGCATGGGGAGGAGGAGGAGGAGGAGGAGAGGGGTGAGCAGCAGTAGCAGTTGCCTGTCCCTGGGAGTTCTGTCTGTCCACATGAAGATGCTGGGGGGACAAACCCACCCGTGGTGTCCACCTGGCCATTGTGCCCAGCTGAGCCTGTCTGGGGGAGGCAGATGCAGTGAAACAAGGGCTGGCAGGATGGGTCTTCCCTGGGATCTGCACCCCACTCCCTGGGGAGGGACTCCCACAGCATCCCTGCAGGGTGAGGACACACAGGGATGGGGCCAAAAATGCCTGGTGGGGCTCAGAAGCACAAAAGCTCCCCAGGTCTGTGAGGGTGGCTCTGCTCAGGGGGATTGCTGTACCTGGGGGAGAGATTTTGGGGCTGAGTGGAGAGCCAGCTCCCCTCTCCTCCCAGCCCCCCAGACCCAGCCTCAGCAGGTGTTGCCTCATCCCTGAGCCCCTGCAGGGAAGCAAATCAGTTTGCAACAAGCAGGTGACAGGGCTGAGTTTTGATGCCCCTCGCAAGGAGGCTGGGACAGCACCCAAACTGTGGCAGATGAGTCTGAAAGGACCAACTCCACCCCCATGGATGAACCAAGATGCCTCCAACTCCCTGCAAAAACTCACCCCATTGCACCGAGCAGAAGAGGCACCGTCTGCCCCCAGAGAGGGGTTTTTATCGGGGACAAACGTGGCAGAAAAGGCCTGAAGATGCCATCACGCTGGTCAGCACAGCCCAGGGCCCTGCTTGCTCTGGGCGGGTGGTTTTTGTTTTCTTGCAAACACACATTCTCGTTTCTCAGGCAGTTATAAATATTGTCGTTTCTAGTAGAAAAAAAAAAAAAAAAAAAAAAAAAAAACAAAAAAAAAAAAAAAAAACCAAAACAACTTCCCTCTAAATAATATAAGGAAGACTCAAATGATTGCACTTAATACATATGAAAAAGGTAGAAAGGAGGATATCCTAGTGCACAAACATTAACTCCTGCTCTTCTCGAAGCTTGCTTTTCCGAGTTACTCTTTGGCAGAGCTTGTAACAAAGTCTGGTTTCTTGGCACAAGTGTCTGGGGTGTGGGGCGGGGG